TTTGGAAGCATCCGAATGTCCAAATTTCCAAAATTCTGACAAATTTGCATTCGGAACGAAGCAAATTGCACGTGTCCATACTGAATTGTTTTATTTTTTTATTTTTTTTGCAAGTGTCTGTTTAAAGAGCAGCTCAATATAAGGTTTATTGTATTTCCCCTTTGCCAAGGATTGTACATATGGCATTTTTAAAAGGTGAGCCTTTAAATCTTCCTAATAATAGGATGTTCGGTTCCTGCACCTATAGACAGCGTTTGTGCGTTATTTCAGAACTGGAACAAACTATCTCCCACTGAAACTACACAACCCAAGCCAACTTTGCTAACTCACCCTCACTACAACTGCACAAACTAATCTAACCTCACTAACTCTCACGGCAACTATACAACCCAACCCAACTCAACTTTGCTAACTCACCCTCACTACAACTGCACAAACTAATCTAACCTCACTAACTCTCACGGCAACTATACAACCCAACTCAACTTTGCTAACTCACCCTCACTACAACTGCACAAACTAATCTAACCTCACTATCTCTCACTGCAACTACACAACCCAATCCAACTTTGCTAACTAAACCTCACTACAACTGCACAAACTAATCTGACCTCACTAACTATCTCTCACTGCAACTACATAACCCAATATATATATGTCTGTATGTATTTGTGTCAATCAGTTAATGTGTTACTGTTTACCATCAGAGTGAAAATATTTCCAGTGAAATCCCTCATGCCAAATAAAGGATGTAGAATGTTTTAATCCAAAGAAGAGATATTTGGAAGTCCCACTGCTCGTTAACCCATAGACATACTGTCAGTAAGGAGACAATGGGAGATTCACTGCAATAATCTGCTTCCAAATCAGGAGCTGTGTAGATCTTCCGAATATAACTACAATAGCCCCATCCAGGGGTCAGAAGAGTTTCAGAATTAAAGCGGGCTTATCCCGTCATCACATCTTCTCCAAGGATATCTCTGTACACAAAACGACCTCTGCCGCAGCTA